TTTCGGTCGGACCAAAACAACACTCGAGGTTTCGGTCGGACCAACACAAGACTCAGAATTTGGAACGAAGCCAATTCTTGGTTGGACAAAACGAGACTCCTCCGCTGGCCACATTTGCTGTTGGAACAGCACCCGGTCGAGCGAAACAGCCTCGGTCGGAAAGGTTCGACTTGTGTGAGTTGGTTCACATTTAGCCGTCCGACGGCAAGCGATTGAGCCCCTCACCGAAGGACTGGCATGTAAAAGCCTTTACACGAGCTGCTTCGGCATTAGGATCTGCTAACCTTCCAGCGGCCTAGTACATGTACATGAGCCTATCTTGGAAACCGAGCGGCTTTAGACAGCGGTATACGACGACAACGAAGACAACACAACATGCAGGACAGCGTACAGAAATTCATCGTGACAGAGACCCCCCCATGGTATTTGACCTCAGAGTCCAAAGACGGTTTCAACTGCGAAAGCACGCAAGGACTGTTTGACAACGTCGCCGACTTGATGATGCTCAAGCAAGCGGAACTATCCGAAAGAGAGAAGAGATACAAACCAAAAACCATCTACAAGATTATCAGGAATGCGCTGATAAGGGACATCGACGCTATAGAGCAAAAGCCGTCGCACTCGCTGCTGCTCGCGCTCATGGATTTAGTGGATGTCGAAGGCGGGAACGGATTCGAGTCGATGGCGACTGTGGACAAAGCCGGCCTCAAACATGTTTTACTGGCATACAGTAACTGCACGACCTTCTACGTGCCGAATAAAGAGCTGATAAGCCCCAGCGGAAAGAAGGTGATTCCCGTGGTCACATGGTACGCCGAAAACCACAACCTCGTATTCTACGACAGCAGCAGGTCCATGGTCGGAACCTACATTGTCTTCATCCCGACAAGCGGGAAGGCCGGCAAGTCGTACTTTGTGCAAGAGGTGCTGTTCGTCCCGGGACTGAAGAGCCTCGAGTTGCTGAGAAGGGTGACGAATAACAAGTTCGATTTTTGGGACATGGCCCTGGAGGTGCCCACGCACTTCACGGGTCTAACGCCTTCCTTCCAACAAATCCAGCCTTTCCAGTTGCTACGCACCGAGGACAAAAACGCCGCCCAGAGCAGCAACAACAACGACGCGCTACTCTCTCGCATGGAAGAGATACGACCCATGTGCTGCGTGTTAGGCGCGGCTTCGGCTGAAACGCTGAAGAAAAAGCGTGAGGCCAGCGTGGATTGTTTTGCCGAAAACCAAGTCATCTGCAATCTGAGCCGCTTCCACTACGAGAACGGCGGCGCCCGTGTGGTTTACTTTAGACGCAGCGGCAAGTTCCTGGATGGCAAGCGTGTGAACCTGGTGCCGGTCGTCGCCTTGAGAACGGGTCAGGTCGAGAACCGTGAGTTGTACGTGTCTACCACGGTGAGATTTTGCAGGGCCGTGATGCAATCCTGCATCAAGGGCAGCGGAGAGCTGGTGAGCTGCTGGAATACCACGCTAAAGGAGTTCGACAGGGAGACTTTTATCACCGGAACCGACATGTATCAGGAACTGTACAATCCCGCCTTGACGGCGTTCATCAAGCGCGTGAATCCAAACAGCTGGTGCAATTATCTACCCAGGCATGTGGAGAGCAAGATGGTGAACCCCATCATGGTGGAGGTGGTGGAATTGGCCATCAAATTCATGGATAATAAGATTCCCAACGCGTTCGCCGTGGCCGAGCTGCTATATTGCCCGATTGACAGAGTGCGAGAATACCTAAAGTTCTGGGATAGGTACTCCTCTGACAACGCGGTTCACGCGGCCGTAAGGGCAAAGCGTATCGGCCTGGTAGAGGAGCAGATGAAAGCAGACTGGACCGCATTGGCCAAAATCGCCTCCGATTACGGTCGAAAGAGATACGGCGATGACGGAAACGCCGAAATGGTCTCGGCGTGCGAAGAGTTGTTCAAACATCAGACCCTGGACAATGCGGCCAAAGCCCAGAAGATGTGGCACGCCGTGGTCAAACACGATACGAGCAAGATCAAGGAGAAGGAGTTGGTAAAGATGTATGCCAACGCCAAGGTGCTCTTTTTGAAACTCCGCACTTATTACAACAAGTTGAAGAAAGGGCTGAAGGTGGGCGAGGGAGAGAGCGGCTCGTCCTCCCCGCTCTCGACGGAAGCCCGAGACGCCGAGGCGTCATCCTCCGGAGGTCGAGCAATGCAGCGACGAAGACGAGGCTACTACGGCCGGTGGTGTCGGCTGGAAAGACGATGGTCTGTACTCCATCGTCACGCCGGAGGCCGTTCCGATTTCGACGTGGCTCAAGAACATGCCGACTCTGCTGCTGAGCGAGCCCTGGTTGAACGAAGACGATCTCAGGAGAGAAGCCGTTTGTACTCTCCTGGGATTGGACAACACTCTGTTGAACAAAAAGAACGACGCCATCCTTCGAGACTGGGTCGTCGACAACCGAACCGTCGTCGACATACTCCGGATTCACGGCTTGCAGGATAGACTCAGCAGAGCCCTGGTGGACTGTTTAGAATCTACATCTACCGACAACTGGAGACGCAAGGTGTTGTTGTCGTTCCGGGGTGCCCCGGATCGAGCCGCGGGAGCTTTGGACCGGCTGGTGTCCAAGAACCCTAGCACTCAAAGCAAGAAAGGTGATCTGCGCAGCGCAAAAAGACAGGGTGCAAAAAGACAGGGTGAACGCGCTACAAAACCGGCTCCTTTTCGTCACCCCAAAGCGCCAAAACGAGATCGCTCGACGACAACGACGACTAAGAGCACCAAGGCCCGCTCTCGTCACAGGTACGGTCGCGCTGACGACGACAACGATGAAGGGCACCCTTGGCTGAGCGAGGCCGAGGAAGTTAACGTAGAAGAGGAAGAATGTCCCGAGGACGAAGAGGAGATCCCCGGGGAGGATTTGGAGGCTACGATGGACTACGACAACAGCGAGAGTCCAGACGAATACGATTGCGACGATGACTTCATAGACGACGGACCCACCGAGGACGACTACGGCAGCAGTGAAGAAGAGAAAGAAAAGGGAGAAGAAGAAGAAGAAGAAGAAGAAGAAGAAGATGATGATGATGAGGAGGTGTTCTGCACCCAGGCCAGAAGGAGGGCCAAAGGGGCCAAGTGTAAGAAGATTATCAAACGAGGACGCAAACGCCTATCTCATTCAGAGTCTGAGGAAGACTCGCCCACGCCCGGCTGTAGCGGTACAAAAGAGGGCTTTTGGGGCTACAAGCGTGCACTGCAATCTGACTCCGAGGAGGAGTCGAGCAAGCCCGCTGTAAAGCGCGTCGTCAAACGCGCAAAGAAGATCCCTCGGCTTTACAAGAGCAAGGAGAAGCGTAGCAGGAGCACCAAGGTGGTTTCTGTCCGGCGCTTCGACAGAGAGGTTACAAAGAAACACAAGGATAAGTCTGACAAGAGGCATGAAAGAGCCGAGCCTGCTAACAGGACCCCCAGTCGAGATTCCCCTCTACGCGAGAGAAAGCTGTCTCTGTCGGATTCAAAAACTGACGACGACGACGACCACCGCTATCAGGGACAGGAGAAACGAGAGGGGGTAAGGGGGTTCGCTTCCAAGAAAAAACACCACACTCGCACCGACGAGCAGGAGGAGAGAATTAAAGGCAATACACCCAAACTCAAAGAGACCGGGAGATCCCTCAAACAGCAAGAGGCTTTCAAACAGCTCCCTACATCGTCACATCAGAGCGCTGGCGTTTCATCCCCGGGGCAAGAGGCAGCAAAAGCGGCAGAAAAGTTGACAGATCAAGCCGCACGGCCCACTGAGACCCACCAGGAATCATCATCGTCATCATCCGATCGTGAGGCGGAGGGGGGTGAAGAGGAACGGCTAGACAGAGAGGATCACTCCAACTGTCCTGCCGCCGAGTTGTCCGAACCGGACTTTGATAGACTAGATGACCCTAATCCCAAAACAGACTCTGACAGTGACGAGTTTTTTGTTTCTATGTGAAATGTCTTCCCGTGTGATGAAAAAGAAGCAGCCTGTACCCGGACCCCAAAGTGCTTGTATGATACGATATTTAGAGGGGCTGGCTAACAGTGTTTGTGTCTCTCAGATAGATGAACCTCGCTCGTCTGTAGTAGCACTGTCAGCTACGTATTCATGTCCAGAAAGAGAAGCAGTGAAATCCAATGTTCCCAATACTTTGGATAGGTATTTTGTTAAGAAGTGATGTAGGATTGACTTGTGAAATGTGTGTATGTGTGTGTGTGGCTTCTTGTAACTCTCAGTATGATATAAACAATGCCGTTACACATGAGATGTCTTTAAACCTTTCTGTGTCTTTTATGCGCTTGATGTTCACAGTGATGAGTGCTTGTAACCCATGATAATATAAAATGATGTTGCATGTAAGATGACAATTGTTTGTTTCTTCTGTGCACTCAGAGTTCACCTCGGTGAAATGTGTGACTCCACTATGATATAAATTTTAAAAAATCATGTTACACCAGACATGTAAGATATCCTTATTTGTTTATGTGTTCACTCAGAGTTCACCTCGGTGAAATGTGTGACTTCAGTATGATATAAATAAAAAAAAACACCATGTTACACCAGACATGTAAGATATCCTTATGTGTTTATTTGTTCACTCATAGTTCACAGTTATCATACATAATGGTATAATACACAGTGTTCAACGAGAACTGTTTCTCCTGCGGTACATGAGCATGTAAGCAACCCCGTCGTATAAGTTGGATCCCGCTTCGTAGGTTGTCTTGACATCCCCCCAGGAACACATCCTTATGTAAGTGTCATCCGCGATATACCAGCTGTCTTCTGCCCGCACATAAGCCGTGTAATGTCCACAGTAGTGAGTGCCACGGTGGGCCACGACGGCATACAGCTCGTACAGAGTAGGGGTGTCCGCGGGCTCCTTCACGAGGTACTTCAGATCCACAGTCTCGGTGAAAGCGAAGCGTTTCTCCGTCTTGACTATGTGAGCTGCTCCTCTGCCGATGTTTTTAACTCGTGCGATCCTCATACACACGACCGGGGGTAACGACACAACTTTGCTGGCGATTTCGACCCGGGTTCTCGTGTGACAGTTTGCGCAATGGCAGTCGCACGTCGTTGTTGTGTCAGAGTGCCGTTTGATGTATTCCTGCAGCTCGTCGGGGAGATTCTCTTCGATCGACACAGGAATTGTGTTAGACTTGGTGCGTATAGACCGGACCGCGTTGCAACCGAGGCAGCGCACGCTGTCCTCCTTCTCGATGTCCCACAATTTGCCGATCTCTTTGGCAGCCCCGCAGCCGTCCGCTAGAGCGTTGACGATGCACTTGAAGATGAGCTCCGAGTCCTCCTGAACGTCGAAGCGCACTCCGCTGTACGCGCTCATCGAGTCTACGAGACAACTCGGATCGCACGGCGACGGGCCGTCTGTGCTCATTTCACGGATGAGGCTCTTGAGCGTCGGGGCCACCGTGTTTTTATGATTAGGAGCCTGGTAATCCCGTTCGTCGACTCGTCGAATGAGATCACGCAGCTCGCGCGTCTCGTACAGGCACTGGACGACGCTGTTGATGCTGCAATAGGTCCCGTAGTTGATCAAGCCTCGCATGATGGCAGGGCAGCGCGGCCGGCCCGCACGGGGCTCGATGTGACGGTGGGGGTTTCGTAACTAAGCGTATCCTCGAGGATGAGGACTTTGCCGCACGCTTTGCGTTGGTGTTTTTTTTTTTTTTTTTTTAGTAGTCTGTCACGCTCAGCATCGCCACGCTCTGGAATAGCTCTCTGAGAGATCTCACGTGTCCCGACGGGCTCAGTAGGACCACGATGATTGTTGTCCTGTAATAGTCGAGGGAGAGCTCCTGCAAAGGTCCCGGTCTCTTAAACCTCGTGAACATTATGACAGGAGCCCACTTGGACTCGGTCAGCGAGACGGCGTCATGCGTGAAACAGTCGCCGTTGTTGTGGAACAACCTCGAGCGTTGGTCCAGTTGATCTACGCTGGGAATCCCAGCGAGCGCCGAGTTGTTGAGAGTCACCCTCGTCAAACCCCGAGTGCAATCCAGCGTCATCACCTCGACCTTACATGATCCGAATATCTTTTTGGCTCTCATCCTCAGCACTATGTTCCTAACCAACGTGTGCAGCTTGGTGTCACCCACACCCTCTGCCGTCTGGTCGCCTCTGAAAGGCTTCGGGATTCCATAAACTAGCACTTTGGCGCCGCACGCCTCTTTGTTTTCCCCTTCTCCTTCTTCATCTTCACCCGCGTGTGTTAGCCAGTTTGGTATATCGGACGAATAATCCCTGAACGTGAAAAAATTGTCGTCCAGGGTCAACAGGGACGGCGTCGTCCTTTCGCTGAGATCGAAGCTTCTCAACCACTCGATCGACTTGGTCAGCACGTGCGAGGCGGGCGTTCCGGGGCTCAGCGTGCAAAGCCACGTGCGCAGACTCGAGCAGGGTAAGTGCTTTGCTGCCATAGTAGCGCAGAGACCGACCAAACCCTCGCATTGTTCGCCAAACATCGAGCACCGGGGCTTGTTGAAGTTTCTGCTGAGATAGGGGACGATGTCGATCATCACGGCTCCTTTGGCGATGAGGAGATCCCTGCATTCGGTCATGTGCGCGGGTAGAAGCTTCACGTCTAAGGCCGCCTTGAGTGTGAGAAAGACTTGCAGCAGGAAGGCGTAGACCGAATTAGACGAGCTCGACGCATTCCAGTCGGACACTCGCTTGCAACCGACGAAGAACTGCGCATACTGGAAGATGAACACGCCGTTGCGTCTAGAGCACTTACACGAGCCGTCTCGGGGACCCGCGAATAGGAGAGGGTGCATTCGGGTCATGCTTTGTGACAGGAGAATGACACTGTTCTTGAAACGCGCTATCTCCATCTCGTCGTGGCTCTTTAGAATGACCATGTTTGTGTCTATCTCCCCCTCGATCTTCTTGCCTCGCAAGATCACCGCACTCTCCGTGACCACGCTGGCGGTCGAGGGCCCTTTGACGCTTGCATCGATGTTGTTGTTGTTGTTCCCGGAGGCCTCGGTGGGTCTCGCAAGCGGGGCGATGCTCGCGACGGCATCATCGCCAGGGGCCTCAGCGGGTCTAGCGTCGATGTTTCCGGGGGGCCCGGTAACTCTCGCACCTTCGACGCTCACAATGGCGTCGCCGCCGGGCGCCTCGAAGGGTACTGTGGCGGCTGCACCGGGTCCCACCCGAATGTCGGTGCTCTCTCCCAAAGCCTCGTTCAAGTCGCTCAATGAAGGAATGTTAGAATCGCCCATATCGCTAGAGCTCAACATTTCAACCAAGTTGTCACTCCATTCGAATGACTCGGGTGGGGGTTCGTCCGGCGACTCGTGTTCTGCGGCACTTCCCACCGCTCCGTGACTCTGCTCGTCGTGCTCGTCTTCTGGGTCGGGTGGCCGCGTCGCGCTGGGCACAGCGGGTTCAGAGGGACCCGGACGCCGTCGGCCGAGGAGGGCCTTTGCCGAAGTGCTCGGACCGTCTACGGGATCCGTCTTTGTGCGCCTGACCTCGACCGGATTGTCGGCGTCGCCGGCCCTGCTGCGTTTAAACCTCCTCTTGTACACGGCCTCGAGCTCTCTGACCTTCTTGGAGTACCACTCGTAAGGCTGGATGTAATCGGGAGCCAGCCGTAAAAAGTCTATCCCGTAATACAGTTTAGAGTCAGGCTTGATGACCGTGACGGGGGATCCCGCGGTCGATCTCGCTGTCACCAGATCGGCAAACGCTTCGGGGACGCAGTCGTCGGCCACGATGATGTCGGTCGGCCGATACTCCCCTACCCGTACGGACAGCGGCATCTGCGTGGACGGCGACTGGGCGTCGATGATATCCTGGCTCAAACACCGGTATCGAGCGAGTCGGACGGAGACCACCTCTCTTGAGGGAACAGCGTGATGCACAGCACTCCCATGGTGATAAAGTGCTTATCCGTTATGTTGCAGCCCGCGTGACAGAGGGTGGCCAGTATCGTCTGCACGGTAGGCCTTCTGTCTTTGTGCTTCGCATGAAGAGCTCGAGCGTCCATAGCCTTCATGTAGTCCAGCTCGAACGTCTCGTCCTTCTCCGGGTTGTAAACGCCGACCAAGTTGGATAGGTTCGCGGCGTGCGTCTTTTTACAGTAACCTCGCTCGGACCCCTTGTACGGCACCAAGGGCGAGCCGCTGTGCAACTCCCACATCACACAGTACCAGCTGCATATGTCGCTCCCGGTGGCCGCGTTCAAGCACCACAGCACTTCGGGAGCCATGTTAGTGCGGTTGCCTCGCATATGATCCGGCGTGGAGAAGTTGCACGCCGTGCCAAAGTCGCTGATCTTGAAAGCGAAGGGAATGGGCTTTCTATCGGGCTGGTGACAGACCAAGACGTTCCTGTACGTGAAGTCCCTGTGCTGGATGGCTCTCGATCTCAAGTAATCCAGCCCTCGCAGGGTGTCCAGTTCTATGGCGGGCATGACCACGGCACTTCGCATGTGCCACATGAACTCCTTCAACGAGAACAGGGCTCGTTCCATGAGGAGCACCACTCTGCCTCCCAACTGGTAGCCGGGGACGTCGCACCAGAAGCCGCCGAACGTGCGCAGGATGTTGGGGTGTTTCATGGAGACGCCGATCATGACCTCCTCCGCCTGAGAGGCAATGTGCGCGTAGCGATTGAATTCGTCGTCTATGAAAGGCACGCTCCAGTTCACCATTTCCGGAAACAGGTTGGTTTTCGCGACGAGGCGATCGCTGATCTGAACGGTCACCCCGAAGCCCCCTCGACCCAGCACCTTGTTCGGCGTGTTTATCAGTTCTTCTATGTCGAATTCACATTTCGACTCCCGGGGCACCGCTAGGTCGGCGTAGATGCTCCACGGAGCGGCGCACGCGGTACACTTCAGAGGCACGTATTTTCGCCCAAAGTTGTCAACGTTCACAATGGGCGTCCTGGGTTTGGTCGTATCGTAGCTCGAGGGCAAGAAGCCGTCTAGAACGGGCTGCGCCTGCTGAGCATGGGGTTCGACGTGCTGAGCGGGACAACTGGCGAACGTGGGGAATAGAGGAGCGTGGACACTCCTGAGTATGTCCTTCTTGATCACCTTGGTCAGCTCCTGAGAGTACGGGGCTTTCATTCCGTCGTACGGGATCACCAGGAACAGGACGACGGAGTCGTATTTACAGCTCCTGCTCGCCGGCCTACGCTGTCGTTTTATGTGTACTACTAGGCGATCTTTACCCTGGATCCGGGGTTCCTCGTCGATGCCCGCCACCGCAATGTTTCTGAGCTTACGCAGTCTGATGAGCTCATCGAGCACCGCTACGGTGTCTTTGCCTTGCTCGAAGGTGAAAGTTACTCCGAGCCACTCCAGCACGCCTCGCGTGTCACTGTAACGCAAGGTCTTAACGTGATAGAGATTGTAGCGCTCTACCAGTTCCAGTAACCTTTTGGCACTGCTCCTGCTCTTTGCCTGCGACATTTTCTCTCACTCGTGTCTGCTGCGTCCAGGGGTGGTAAATAGAAGAGGGGGATGGACCCGACTCGTAGAGAGCTCGTGTTCTCTGAACGCGCTTCCGTGGCGCTCTTCGAGTGCCTGATAGTGGCAGGTGCGCCCGCCACCGGGTTGCTGCAAGATACGACGTTCAAAGACGGAGGCACGCTCCAGATGACGATACAACTCTTGCGAGATATGTGGCACAGAGCCGATGCCTTATACGTACCCCGAGCAGACCTGGAGTCTCTGCACCGCATGGAGTGTAAGAGCACCGTGTGCCATGAATTGCCTATCCCCGACCAGATAGCGACAGAGCCTCGCAAACTCTCCAGATACTACATCTATCTGTTGTTTCGTTACTGCGTGAGCTCCGCGGGCCCGGGCCCCACGACCTACGCCTGGAATTTTGTGTCTAATGGTTCGCTCGCCGCATCTCTGAGGAGACACAAGAAACATGCGGCTCCCTTTGTGGATGTGGCCGGGGGGTTG